ATTGGTTTACGTGAAAGTTATAGCGTTTACAAATGGCGGGAAAGATACTGGAATTTTTAATTTTTATTTATACTAATAATGGCGCCGATCAGCGACATATGGCGGCAATCAGCGACATATGACGGCGACCAGCGACTTATGGCGGGACTGCGGGACTGAGGCGGACATTTTGACACTGGGGGGGAGCTGACTTGGGGTCACTGACATCCCCAGTGACACCAATACAGTGATCAGTGAAAAAAAACCACTGAAACTGTATTAATGTCACTGGGGAGGAAGGGGTTAACATTTTTAGTGTTCACTGTGTGAGGGGAGTGTTTTACTAAGGGGGCGGGGGTGTGTGCTGGACGGGGGAGGGAGGGGGGGGAGCTGATTGAGGGAGAGAAACTGTATTCTCCCTCTGCAGCTTGGCGGCGAACTGTCACAGGGCAGGCTGTGTGTAAACAATGCAGCCCTGCTCTGTTTCAGTGTTTACCGCTCATCGCGGGAAAACGGCCGGTAAAAACCGGCCGTGACCCGGCGGCGGGGACCCGCTGCTGACACCCGTGGGACAGGTAGGGCGGGCGCGTGCCTCGCGCGCGCCCCCTGCCTGTTTTGTAGGCACACGTTTTAAAACGTGCTTTTGCCTACGAGCGCCGCCCTGCCACCGTTTATATGCGGTGGCTGGGCGGCATGTGGTTAAACAAGGCTTTTAATTATATTTAAACATGTGAGTGGCCTTATTCTATCTTTCTATTCTATATGAAGTGGCAGTATTACACTATGTAGTTTTTTTTTTTTCTATACACCATTGAGGAATTTATGGAGGAATAAAGTGGAGGCGATTAATATACCCAATCAGTGTGAAAAAAGAAGATTTGATCTCTTTTGGAGGGGGTATAGGATCCCTTATATCCTATAAGGCTCATTACTCACCTCTATCTGGTGAGTGCGGTTAATATCATTTCTCACGTGGTGGATAGGTGGAAGCACATTTCAAATAATTTATTATTGGTTTCAATGGGAATAAGAACTTATTTTCACATGGACACTTGATTTTATATATTTTTTTATATTTTTTGTTTTTTTATTTATTAATTTTGTTTGTAGATTTTACACTACGTAGTGTAGTCACCGCTTCGGGGGCTTGTGCCCCTTCCCAAGTCGGTCACACTACAACACCACTCTACGCGGGTTCCAGCCCAGCTCGTCAGCCGCACATACAGATACAAAGAAATACCCCGGATGGCGGCACTCCTTGTTCTGCTTTTTGTTCCTTTGTATCACGGGAAAACAGCACAAACACCAGTGAAGGAAAGAGGACAAATACTGACGCGTTTCGCACTCTTCTTAGTCCTTAGTCATAATCCTCGGTAAGGAGAGCGCCAGAAACGTCAATCTTTGCCTTCTCCCCCCAACCCCCCAATGGTCTTTGTGCTGTTCTGCGGTGATAAAAAATAATAAAAAGCAGAGCGGGGAGCGCAAATGGCAACCTTCCCTTTATGGATTTACATGAATAACAGCTGTAAGAACCTTCAACACGTTTCGGCCTTCAGGCCTTAAGTCATGGCTTAAGTAAAGACAATTGATACACTGTTTTTGCTTCAAACATGTCTTTACTTCAGCCATAAGGACTGATGACACAATCCACAAAAGAGCAAAGTTGGGACCCGGAATAAATGCAAATGTAAATCTTTTATTCATTTACATGAATCACAGCTGTAAGAACTTCCAACATGTTTTGGCCTTCAGGCCTTAGTCATGGCTGAAGTAAAGACATTTAACACACGGTTTTTACTTCAAACATGACTAAGGATTGATAACACAATCCACAAAAGAGAAAAGTCGGGACCCAGGATAAATGCAAATGGAAATCTCTCTTTTATTCATTTACATGAATAACAGCTGTAAGAACCCCCAATGCGTTTCGGCCTTCAGTCCTTAGTTATGACTGAAAGTAAACACATTTAACACACTGTTTTTGCTTCAAACGTGTCTATATTTCAGCCATAACTAAGGACTGATGACACAATCCACAAAAGAGCAGTCGGGACACAGAATAGATGCAAATCGAAATCTTTTATTCATTTACATGAACAGCTGTAAGAACCGCCAACGTTTTTCGGCCTTCAGGCCTTAGTTATGACTGAAGTAAAGACATTTAACACACTGTTTTTGCTTCAAAAGTGTCTTTATTTCAGCCATAACTAAGAACTGATGACACAATCCACAAAAGAGCAAAGTCGGCACCCGGGATAAATGCAAATGGCGATCTTTCTTTTATTCATTTACATGAATAAGAGCTGTAAGAACCTCCAACGCATTTCGGCCTTCGTCATGGCTGAAGTAAACACATTTAACACACTTTTTACTTCAAATGTGTCTTTACTTCTGCCATGACTAAGGCCTGAAGGACCAAAATGCGTTGGAGGTTCTTACAGCTGTTATTCATGTAAACGGATAACAGAAAGATCGCCATTTGCATTTATCCCGGGTTCGCTTTTTTTTTCTTTTGTAGATTGTGTACTTCAGAAGTATCGGAATCCTCAAAGTCTGAGCACTCGGGTCTGGAGCGGTGGACTTCGAAGGTAGACGTTTCCAAAACAAGGAGTGCAGCCATCCAGAGTATTTCTTTGTATTCGTACAGCTAAATGCATGCTGGGAAACTTATCTCTGGGAGGACACCATTTTTAATGTCTAGGCTAGGAGGGGAGGAACAGGAAGATGGAGGCGGGGACATGTTTTATCTTTATTCAATAAGAGAAGCTCCAGGCAACAAATAAATTCCATATTAGTGAACAGCAGAAAACATTAACAATATGCAAAAATCAGAACGTTTAGTCAGTTTCACCAAAATCTGAGTCATAAATAGTCAGAGACTGCACGATCAAGCAGTCCTTGACAGGAGAACCAGCTCTTGTGACTTGATCTTCTGCAACCTCCCTCTCAAGCTCCAATCTGTGTGGGTGAGGCAGCAGTGAACCCCGAGGTTCACTTTTAGAGTTAGATTTGGGGACGTCCATTGAAAAAAAATTCCATATATGGGGTGTGGGTGGGGAAGGGGCTCAAAATGTTTTTTTTCAGGGGGATTTTATGCGCTTGTGTGTAACTTTGTTTTGCAAACAAAAACTTTTTTTTTAATCACATAGCGGACACAAAGTCTCCTATGTGATGATTTTTGGTGACAGGTTCTCTTTAAGGCCCCTTTCACACGGGTGTTCCGTATGTCCGTTTTTCATCTGTCCGTGTACTAGCGAATGTAAACGGATAATCTGTTTACATCCGTTAATGTCCGCATCTGTTAACATTGGATTTTTTTCACGGAAGAACCCTATTTTTCTTCCGTAAAAAAAACTGGGACAAAACAGAGGAAAAATGGATGTAAACGAATATAAAAGGACATACGGTCCGTTTTTGCATTGGTAAAGGATGTAAAAAACGGATGTACACAGACGAAAAATGGATGTAAACGAAAATTAATGAACATACGGTCTGGTTTTGCATTGGTAAAGGATGTAAAAAACGGATGCACATGGATGGAAAAACGGATGTACACTGATGAAAAACGGATGTAAACAGATGGAAAACAGATGTAAACAGATGGAAAATGGATGTAAACTAATATAAATGGACATACGGTCCGTTTTTGTATTGGTAAAGGATGTAAAAAACTGATGTACATGTATGGAAAAACGGTTGTAAAACAGATGTAAAATGGATGTAAACGAATATAAAAATGGGACATACGGTGTGGTTTTGCATTGGTAAAGGATGTAAACTGATGAAAAAAACAGATATAAATGGACGGAAAACAGATGTAAACAAATATAAAAATCGGTCTGGTTTTGCATGAAAAACGAATGTAAACAAATGTAAATGGACATACGGTCCGTTTTTGCATTAGTAAAGGATGTAAAAAAACAGATGTACACAGATGAAAAACGGATGTAAACAGAGTAAACTGATGAAAAATTGATGTAAATGAATATAAATGGACATATGATCTGGTTTTGCATTGGTAAAGGATGTAAAAAACTGATGTACATGGGTGGAAAAACGGATGTAAACAGATGCAAAATGGATGTAAACGAATATAAAAATGGGACATACGGTCTGGTTTTGCATTGGTAAAGGATGTAAAAAACAGATGTACACGGATGAAAAACGGATGTAAATGGACAGAAAATGGATGTAAACTGATGAAAAATTAATGTAAACGAATATACATGGACATATAGTCTGGTTTTGGTAAAAGATGTAAAAAACGGATGTAAACTGATGAAAAAAGGATGTAAATGGACTCAAACGGATGGAAAACGGATGGAAACGGACATATAGTCCGTTTTTGTATTGGTAAAGAATGTTAAAAAAAAACGGATGTAAACCGATGAAAAACAGATGTAAACGGATAAAAATTGATGTAAACAGATGGAAAACGGATGTAAACGCATGAAAAATGAATGTAAAATGGACATACGGTCCGTTTTTGCATTAGTAAAGGATGTAAAAAGCAGATGTACACGGATTACAAAATGGATGTAAACAGATGGAAAACGTTTGTAAACTGATGAAAAGAGGATGTAAATGGATGGGAAACGGATATAATTGAATGGAAAATGGTTGTAAACGGATGAAAAAAACGGATGTACTCTAAACGAATAGAAATGTATATACGCATTGGTAAAGGATGTAAAAAATGGATGTAAACTGATGAAAATAGGATGTAAATGGACTCAAATGGATGAAAACGGACGGAAAACGGATGTAAATGGATTTTCTTGGAAAAAAACATGACTGAACTGATGAAAAAAAACAGACCACCGGTGTGAAAGAACTCTAATGAGACATGCCGGGTCTAAAAAGGCGCCAAAATCGGGAAACAATGGGGCGAAGGGGGGCAGCTCAGGCAGCCGCCCGACTGCCTGTTGGTTTTCGACAATTCCGGTACGGACAGACCCGGAAGCGAAAGGGTTCAAGTTTTGGTTGGACTATACTGGTAAAAATTCGGGACTGTGTCCGAGTCAACGCGTGTGGACTCTGTAGTGACTGACAAGGTGTGAAGTCTGTGAGAAACATTTCCCGCACTCTGAGCAGGCAAACGGTCTGACCCCGGTGTGAAGCCTCTGATGTCTGATAAAGTTTGACTTGTCTACAAATTCTTTTCCGCACTCTGAGCACGAAAACGGCTTCTCCCCCGTGTGGATTCTGCGATGGCGGTAGAGGTACGACCTATCGGAAAAGCCTTTCCCGCACTCTGTGCAGGTAAAGGGCTTCTCGCCCGTGTGGGTGGTCTGGTGCCGAATAAGGGACGCCTTGTCCATGAAGCCCTTCCCGCATTTGGCACAGGAAAATGGCATCTCTAGGACGTGAATTTTCAGGTGGTTCCGGAGATGGGAAGACCAGGCAAAGCCTTCCCCACACTCCGGGCAGGAATAGGGCTTCTCCCCCGTGTGAACCCTCTCGTGGCTGACCAGGTCTGCTTTGGCAATAAAGCACCTCTCACACTCCGAACAGGCAAACGGCTTCTCCCCTCTGTGGATGGTCTGATGGGCCCGGAGCCGTGACTTTTGCCGAAAGGACTTCCCGCACTCTGGGCAGGAAAACTTGACGTCGGAATGAGTCCTCTGATGTTTGCGGAGCTGGGATGGGCAGGAGAAACATTTCCCGCACTCTGAACATGGGAAAGGCTTCTCGCCAGTATGGCTCCTCTGGTGTTGTATGAACTTTGACCGGAATTCGAAATTCCTTCCACATTCTAGACAATGAAACCTCCTCTCCCCAGAGTGGGTCAGTTCGTGCCTATCGAGGGCCGACTGCCAGGCGAAACATCTCCCGCACTCAGCACAGATGAACGGCTTCTCACCAAGGTGCGCCCTCTTCTGCCCCGGACCTGGCTTCTGCGATAGACATTCTTTACACTCCGAGGATGAAAAGCCGTTCATGCCCATTGAGCCGTGCTCCAAGTCTGCCTTAAAACATTTCCCACACGTCAAACATATAAATGACCCCCCGCTTGTGTGAGTTTGATAATGTTCGAGGAGAGCGGATAACCCGGTGAAACATTCTCCACACTCTGAGCAGGAAAAGGAGAATGGGTCTGATGCTCTGGGTGAGGACCTCTCAGAGGTATCGGCTGTTCTGTCTATAAAGCGATCTCTCAGATCTGCTGTACTGCTGAGCATTCTCTCAACGTTACCGGGATCTGCAGTACTGCTGGGCAATCCCTTGTTACCAGGATCTGCTGTACTGCTGGGCAATCCCTTGTTACCAGGATTTGCTGTACTGCTGGGCAATTCCTTGTTACCAGGATCTGCTGTACTGCTGGGCAATTCCTTGTTACCAGGATCTGCTGTGCTGCTGGGTAATCCCTTGTTACCAGGATCTGCTGTGCTGCTGGGTAATCCCTTGTTACCAGGATCTGCTGTGCTGCTGGGCAATCCCCTGTTACCAGGATATGCTGTGCTGCTGGGCAATCCCCTGTTACCAGGATATGCTGTGCTGCTGGGCAATCCCTTGTTACCAGGATCTACTGTACTGCTGGGCAATCCCTTGTTACTAGGGTCTGCTGTACTGTTGGGCAATCCCTTGTTGCTAGGATCTGCTGTACTGCTGGGCAATCCATTGTTGCTAGGAACTACTGTACTGCTGGGCAATCCCTTGTTGCTGGGATCTGCTGTACTGCTGGGCAATCCCTTTTTGCTAGGATCTTCTGTACTGCTGGGCAATCCCTTATTACCAGGATCTGTTGTACTGCTGGGCAATTCCTTGTTACCAGGATCTGCTGTACTGCTGCGCAATTCCTTGTTACCAGGATCTGTTGGTATAACCAAAAATTATAATTTAAATTTTTTTTTTTTTTTTTTTATATTATTATTTTTTTACATACTGTCACCCTAGCAGTATAGTGTCACCATGGTGACACTGTACTACTTGTGGGGGGTGATGAAGATTTTTTTTTTTTTTTTTTTTACACTGATTGCTTTTACACCCATAAAGGCTGTAAAAGCAATCATTTCTCCTTCTCTCTGGCTGCATTCTTGCAGCCATTGAGAAATACTGTGTGAGCTATGATTGGTCACAGCTTGTCATATGGTACAAGGCTGTTGTGAATGGCCCTGTACCATGTGATCTCTGTGATCATTCACGGATTTCACACGTAGTAAGCAATGATGTCAGAAGTGACATCTTGCTTACCCCTATTCATGTGATTGCTGATTGGCCAATCAGCGATCACATGATCGGGACCTCACACAGAGGTCCCGTACAGCGATCGGTGTCCGCTGTGTCTGGAGGACACAGCGGGCACCAGATTGTGCTACCGTGCACTCCCAGGGAGCGCGCACAATCCAAAATGGCGGGCACCGTATATGAACGGCAACCCACCCCTGCACTGCCACCATCTGGCCGTTTGTATACAGCAGCCGGATGGGCAGTGGTTAAAGAAATGTAGAAAATATACTTGGCATTAGATAGGAAGATTATTTTTACACAGCAGGGACACTGGCAGCAGGAAGAAGGTCCAGATTCCTCTATATAGATCTTTATATCACTAGAGGGGTCACCATCAGGAGAAAGGAGGTCCCGATTCCTCCATACAGATCTTTATATATCACTAGAAGGATCACCGGCAGGCATGGAAATCAATTTACCAATTCAGGATAAAGAGATTGGGAAGGCAGGTTGTGTTGTTATGATGTGAGGTTCTGGACAGCTGGGAAATAAAATGATTTTAGGTGGAGAGTCTAACATGGAAATATGGCTCCCGACCCCACCACGAGGTGCAGGTTGCTTCCTCACACAGCACAGGAAGAAATGGTTGTAGAGACCAAGTGACTTAAAACTTACCAATGCTGATCTCTGGAGGAACTTCCTCTTCTTTCACTGTCACCGGTGTCATAATCTCCTCCTCTTTTACCTCTTCCTTAACAATGATAATGTTGAGTTCTCCCAGCTCATCCTTCTAGACATTTGATAAAATAGACATAATGCAGGATCACCACCCACAAACAGACCACGAAGAATGGTTTATGAGGAACATTCCTCCTACCTTCTCATCTTCCCTCATGGAAAGATGGGGACATCTCTCTGGTGGGTTCCCATTACTGGATCCATCCATCTTCCTGATGGTGGTGGGGGATGGTGTGATCTTCCTGTGTGAAATCCCGGGAATACAGAGGACGGGGACATCTCTCTGGTGGGTTCCCATTACTGGATCCATCTACCTGATGATGGTGAGGGATGGTGTGACCTTCCTGTGTGGAATCCCGGGAATACAGAGGACGGGGACATCTCTCTGGTGGGTTCCCATTACTGGATCTATCTACCCGATGATGGTGAGGGATAGTGTGACCTTCCTGTGTGGAATCCCGGGAATACAGAGGACGGGGACATCTCTCTGGTGGGTTCCCATTACTGGATCCATCTACCTGATGATGGTGAGGGATGTTGTGATCTTCCTGTGTGAAATCCCAGGAATACAGAGGACGGGGACATCTCTCTGGTGGGTTCCCATTACTGGATCCATCTACCTGATGATGGTGAGGGATGGTGTGATCTTCCTGTGTGGAATCCCAGGAATACAGAGGACGAGGACATCTCTCTGGTGGATTCCCATGACTGGATCCATCTACCTGATGATGGTGAGGGATGGTGTGACCTTCCTGTGTGGAATCCCGGGAATACAGAGGCCGGGGACATCTCTCTGGTGGGTTCCCATTACTGGATCCATCTACCTGATGATGGTGAGGGACAGTATGATCTTCCTGTGTGGAATCCTGGGAATACAGAGGTTGGGGACATCTCTCTGGTGGGTTCCCATTACTGGATCCATCTGTAGGAAACACACACACTGACTGAAACCATTGTTTCTGTGTTTATCAGATGATGGGGGATCTAGGTGGACCCAACAAACTGCTCTTTGATAAAGTCCTCTCCTACCTGGTGACATGTGAGATGGCTGATTCTCCATCTTGCTGGTGTCTCCTACAATGTTGGGGAAGGATGTGAAGGCACCTGATGAGGTTCAGAGTCCTGATCAGTCTTTTCGACTCCTTAAGGTTGGTCATCACACATTCACCAGATGTCTTCTTCAGAACTGTTTATCAAGAAAAAGAAAAAAAGACAAGGATGTTCAAAAACACTTCCAACATCTCTCAAAGCTCCTTCTTAGGATTAATAAGAGATAACAGTGGGTCGGTAAGATAGTCGAAGCAGCTTATGATACTCGCTTGAGATTTTTCATTTACAGCTCTTCGGCCATTCTCAAAAAGGGTTGTGTGGAACCCTAGGGTTCCTTCAGAAGCTACTAAGGGTTCCTTGAGATGTGGCAGACTGACAAACCCTTAGTAGCTTCTGAAGGAACCCTTAGTAGCTTCTGAAGGAACCCTTAGTAGCTTCTGAAGGAACCCTAAGCTTCCACACAACCCTTTTTGAGAATGGCTGAAAAACTATAAATGAACTTCTATCTGAAAGTGCCTGCAGACTTCAGAGGTCAAGGCAACTGTGCATGACACCAATGACCTTAGCTATCTGTAAGGGTGGCACTATGACCACAACTGTTAAGAGGGACATTCTTCCCATTGACCACCAATGTAAGAGGAATTTTTTCCCACTGGAGTCTGACTCCTGTTTGAAAGAGGACTTCAACCTCCTTCAAGGCAACAATACAAAGAGAGGGTCTACCTAGCCAACCCATTCAAGTTCTATCCAGTCAGGTAGATCCTCATACCACACGGCCATTGGTACAAGGAGATTGTGACACGTGTGACCAAGCTTCGCCTCGTTCTTGCACTAAGATAGATTACTGGCCTCCCTCTTGGGCATTCATCACAAACACAGCCTGGTCCGGCCCGACCATCCTGATCCTTGTAACAATAGCTGATTCCAGTATGGTTTCCACCATGTTGTTGTTGATCCCTGAAGGGTTGGCGGCTCTGTAAAAGGGGTCAGCACTCGGTTTTAGGCCCCCCGGACACCCATCCTTAAGTGGATGCATTCATGGATGTTCTAGAAAGTTCTGTAGTACCTGTTGCCTTCAAAGAAGCCCTAAACTAGACCCCCCATTGTGGCAAGTGAAGGGCAGGGAGCACCGGTGTGCCACCCTGCAGCCCAAGGAACCGAAATCGAAATCTCCAACAAGTCCCAGCAAGTAAATGATAAGAGAAGACACCACTTTTAATATACGTTGATGGGGGGAGGGAAGGATTGCCCTCACCAAAATGTGACTGAACCCCAACCTGATATCCCACCTCTCCCATCACTGTCAGCACCAGGTCCTCTCCTCTTATCCCACTCACCAGATTTTCCCCTCCTTCTTCCCACAACCGGAAACCCCCAACCTTTCTCCCACAGACCTCTTCCGCCCTGTGCGTTCCAACTTGCCCCATACCAAGATGGCCGCACCTCCACCGGAAGTCGTTGTACAGGCGTTAAATAGTGCACAGCACCTCAGCTTCTGCTAGACCCAGGGTCTGAGAGAAAAAAGATCAGCTTGAAACGCTCAGTGAACCCCTTTCCACCTCCTACATCTCCTCCTGAAAGCTCCTTATGCTGCCCGAATCCAACATGGCCGCCCCGTCACCAACCGTTCTCATAGAAACAGCTGAGGGGGGGGAGCGCTGCAGTAACGCGAAGTCACCATACGAGGGCGCTCAGTCGGCCGCAATGTCTTCTGTAAGCTGCTGAGGTAAAATAGAGCGGGATACGATGGCTGGTGGAACGCATAACCAGGAAGAAAATGTGGGAACGCACAACCAGGAACTATTTGAAGGAACGGATAACCAAGAAGTAAATATTGGAACGCACAACAAGTAAGTGTCTGGCACGTTTCACAAACAGGAAGTGACTGGTGGAACGCACAACCAGGTAGTGTCAGGTGGAACGCACAACCAGAAAGTGCTTCCTGGGTGAAATGTGAATTGGCCGGAAGTAGAGGGGAGACATTGCTGGAACTGGCAGAAAGAGGTAATTATGAGATTATTGGCCATATTCTGTGTCTTCAGCACTCATCCCCATCCTCTTCATCTATTCCTGATGATTGAAGCACATCTACAGAATAACAGAGGGATAGAACCATGTCCAGCCACCTCTGTGTGACCTGTAGTTCTCATCGATCGATTTCCATATTTTTGCTTCCCATAGATGACAGTAATACATGAATAGAATAAATATATTCCGACACGGCGGTGACGGTTTAGTGCCGTGTTTACCTGGAACTGAAATACAAGACTGCTGGTAACATTACTATGATTAGTACTATTATTACTGTTAATGGGGAGTGAATGATGTGTGCCGTGCCCGTAAAGTCAGCGGTTCCATATGGTGTAACAATTCCCATGTACCAGAACACAGAGGAGTCACTTGATGTCCCATGTAGAGGAAATATCTCTCTGTGGGGGAGGGTTTTGTTACCCAAATGCCCTGCCCTGTCAGAGTAAGCTCCGCCCTGTCAGAGTAAGCTCCGCCCTGTCAGTAAGCCTCGCCTTAGTTCTTGCCCCTTGTTTTTGCTTAAAGGTAGAGTACGTCCTGCCCATAACAGGTCCTCTGAGGAAGGATTCTTCCTGTTAAGTTCCATCCATGTCCTAATAGCAGCCTACCGAGTGCAGAATGGAGGAAAAGTTAGAGGGATATTCACAAGACCTTACCCTCATAGTGCCATTCATTTCGATTTTTATATCCATCCACAGAGAGGAGTGTCCCCACATCACCACCTCCATGAGGATGGACAAGGACCCCAGTCACATGACCGAGAGGATACTGGACCTCACCCTACAGATCATCTATCAACTGACCGGAGAGGTGAGAAGGATTCTGGGAGGTCACATGACATCACTCTTATCTCTATTAATAAAACACGGACCGGAGAGGTGAGGAGGATCCTGGGAGGTCACAGGACATCACTGTCATCTCTATTAATAAAACACGGACCTGACCGGAGAGGTTAGGATTCTGGGAGGTCACATGACATCACTCCTCTCTATTAATAAAACACAGACCTGACCGGAGAGGTGAGGAGGATTCTGGGAGGTCACATGACATCCCTCTCATCTCTATCAATAAAACACGGACCTGACCAGAGAGGTGAGGAAGATTCTGGGAGGTCACATGACATCACTCTCATCTCTATTAATAAAACACATACCTGACCGGAGAGGTGAGGAGAATTCTGGGAGGTCACATGACATCTCTGTTTCTGTTTTGATGCAGAGTTTTCCTCCTGTGAAGTCTAATGACCACGTGACTATCACAATGCCTCGTCCTCAATTACTGAAACCTGAAATAAACACCAAAAAGATCCTAAAAGTTGCACAGAAGATTATTGAGCTGCTGACAGGAGAGGTGAGCGGTGCTGGGAATTCTGGGACATTCTCCAGTAACAGACAAGGGATGTGTCTGGATGGTGACTGTATCATTGTGTGTGTCAGGTTCCTATAAGGTGTCAGGATGTCACTGTCTATTTCTCCATGGAGGAGTGGGAGTATTTAGAAGGACACAAGGATCTCTACAAGGACGTCATGATGGACAATCAGCCGCCCCTCACATCACCGGGTAAGAGGAGACTTTATTGTAAAGGAGAGAGCAGTACGGAGGGTCCACCTAGATCCCCCATCATCTGATAAACACATAGAAACAATGGATTCAGTCAGTGTGTGTGTTTCCTACAGATGGATCCAGTAATGGCGACCCACCAGAGAGATGTCCCCATCCTCTGTATTCCCGGAATTCCACACAGAAAGATCACACCATCCTTCACCATCATCAGGTAGATGGATCCAGCAATGGGAATCCACCAGAGAGATGTCCCTGTCCTCTATATTCCCAGGATTCCACACAGGAAGGTCACACCATCCCTCACCATCATCAGGTGGATGGATCCAGCAATGGGAACCCACCAGAGAGATGTCCCCGCCCTCTGTATTCCCGGGATTCCACACAGGAAGGTCACACCATCCCTCACCATCATCAGGTAGGTGGAGTTGAAGGTGTCACCAAATCCTAAAGGGCCTTCATGCTGTGTGATCCATGATGTTCTGATGTTATAAACTCTATATAGTCCAGGATTCCTGAACCTGATATTACTACATTCTTACTATTCTAGGATGGAATTCTGATTGACATTAAAGTAGAGATAGTCACGTAGAAGACGAGACGTATCCATTAAGTGGTTGGCCATATAAAAGAAGGGAAATTTCACCAGAGTTTCGGACAGGTGAGACACACCAAATACAGAAAACATTTCTCACATTCTCCCTCTTTAAACTGCATCACCGCCACCCTTCCCTGCCATGGCAGAACGAATTCAGTTGGCATACATGTTTTTGGTCAACCAGATCTGGCCATCTTGAGCTGGTAAGCTCCTTTAGTCATTTAGCAAATAGGTTGACTCGTCTCTACATATCGGTTGTGGGGCATTCCTCCAGTTGTCCTTGGATCCCTCTTTTTTTCCCTCTTTTTAGTTCTCCTTCAAGTATTGTAGTGCTTCTAACAAGCTAAGTACAATGACTCCAATTGAATTTGTACCCGGAGGCTTCTCTCGTGTTGGTAGTACATTGTATGGGTTCAATTTGGAGGTGATAAACACATAATGCGTTCTATGGTAAGTAAAGGAAAGGAAGTATTTACTGTTTGTAGTGGAGACAATGATACCTCACCTTAGCAGGTGCTTAATAGTTGTCTACTTAACCACTTCAAGTCCGGACACTCTCCAGTCCGGACGCTTTCACCCCCTTCCAGTCCGGACGCTTTCACCCCCTTCCAGTCCGGACGCTTTCACCCCCTTCCAGTCCGGACACTTTCCCCCTTCCAGTCCGGACACTTTCACCCCTTCCAGTCCGGACGCTTTCACCCCCTTCCAGTCCAGACGCTTTCACCCCCTTCCAGTCCGGACACTTTCACCCCCTTCCAGTCCGGACACTTTCACCCCCCTTCCAGTCCGGACACTTTCACACCCCCTTCCAGTCCGGACACTTTTCCCCCTTCAAGTCCGGTCACTTTCACCCCCTTCCAGTCCGGACACTTCCCCCCCTTCAAGTCCGGTCACTTTCACCCCCTTCCAGTCTGGACACTTTTCCCCCTTCAAGTCCGGTCACTTTCACCCCCTTCCAGTCCGGACACTTTCACCCCCTTCCAGTCCGGACACTTTCACCCCCTTCCAGTCCGGACACTTCCCCCCCCTTCAAGTCCAGTCACTTTCCCCCCCTTCCAGTCCAGTCACTTTCCCCCCCTTCCAGTCCGGACACTTTCACGCCCTTCCAGTCCGGATGCTTTCACCCCCTTCCTGACCAGGCTTTTTTTTTCAGCTTTCAGTGCTATCACACTTTGAATGACAATTGCGCGGTCATGCAACACTGTACCCATATAAATTTTTTTCGCATTTTTTGAGACAGATAAAACTTTATTTTGGCGGTATTTATTCACCACTGGGATTTTTATTTTCTTTGCTATATAAACGAAAAAGTCAAAAAATTTTCTTGATAATAATCTTTCTTGATATATCTTGGCCCAAAATTTATTCAGTTATCTTTTTAGCAAAAAAAAAAACCAAATTAGTTTGTAACCAAAAATTATCATTTAAAAAAAAAATTTACATTTTTATTTAATTTTTTTTATATTATTGCTTATGGGTTTTTTTTTAACATACCATCACCCTAGCAGTACAGTGTCACCATAATGACACTGTACAACTTGTGGGGGGTGATGATGATTTTTTTTTTTTTAGACTGATTGCTTTTACACCCATAAAGGCTGTAAAAGCAGTCATTTCTCCTTTTCTCTGGCTGCATTCTTGCAGCCATTGAGAAATACTGTGTGATTGGTCACAGCTTGTCACATGGTACAAGGCTGTTGTGAATAGCCCTGTACCATGTGATCACTGTGATCATTTACAGATTTCACAAGTAGTAAGCAATGATGTCAGAAGTGACATCTTGCTTACATCTATTCATGTGATCACTGATTGGCCAATCAGTGATCACATGATCGGGACCTCACACAGAGGTTCCGTACAGCGATCGGTGCTCCGCTGTGTCTGGAGGACGCAGTGGGCACCAGATCGCGGTGCCGCACGCTCCCAGGGAGCGTGCACACTCCAAAATGGCGGGTGCCGTTTAGAAACGGCAACCCGCCCCTGGACTGCCACCATCTGGCCATTTATATACAGCGGCCGGAGGGGAAATGGTTAAAGCAGAACTTGGGGCTTTTTGTAAAACATATCTGCAAGGGTTAAATGCTTGTGAAATTTAGGAGTAGAGGAATAAGCTGTAATACATACCTTATTTCTCCCTCCGGCGCTCTCCTCTCCCCTCACCATCCTCATGTACTACTGGTCTTGCATTGTATGTGATGATGTCAGAGTGGACCACCTTAAAGGAGAGGCTTCAGGGGACCAAAAGGTTGAAGCCTGTGGAGCAAAGAATGAGGTAAGTATCACAACTTATTCCTCAACCCCTAGACTTTACAAGCATTGCAGGGGGTCCAACTTCAAGGATATTTTTTTTTTTCAAAACTGGGTCCAACTTTAAGGAATTGCTGATGCCAGCGTGAACAGCTGGAGCCATATCTGGTGCCACATGAAGATCTGTGAGCCACATCAGGTGCCACTTTTAGAACCGTGGGCTGTATCAAGTGCCACATGGACAACTGTAGGCCATTTCAGGTATCACATGGACAACTGTGAGTCCTATCAGGTGACACATGGGCAACTGTTAGCCATGTTAGGTGCTTCCTGGACAACTGTAGGTCCTATCAGGTTCCACACTGGCAATTTTAAGCCGTATCAGGTGCTGCATAAAGAACTGTGGGCCAAATCAGCTGCCACATGGATAACTGTGAGCCACATCAGGTGCCACTTAAAGAACTGTCGGCCATATCAGGTGGCACATGGACAACTGTGAGCCATGTCAGGTGCCTGGTGGATATGTACTGTGGATCTTATCAGGGGCCACATGGACAATTTTAAGCCATATCAGGTGCCACATGGATTACTGTGAGCCAGATCGGGTGCCACTTAAAGAACTGTGAGCCATATCAAGTGCTACATGGACAACTGTAAACCATATCAGGTGCCACATGGGCATCAGTAGGCCATATCACATGACACAAGGACAACTGTAGGCCATATCAGGTACCACATGGACAACTGTAAACCATATCAGGTGCCACATGGGCATCAGTAGGCCATATCACATGACACAAGGACAACTGTAGGCCATATCAAGTGCCACATGGACAACTGTAAACCATATCAGGTGCCACATGGGCATCAGTAGGCCATATCAAGTTACAGATGGACAACTGTAGGCCATATTAGGTGCCATATGAACAACTGTAGGCCATATCAGGTGCCTCTTGGACAACTGTAGGTCTTATCAGGTGCCACATAAACAATTTTCAGCCATATCAGGTGCCACATGAGCAATTTTAAGCCGTATCAGGTGCTGCATAAAGAACTGTGGGCCAAATCAGCTGCCACGTGGATAACTGTGAGCCACATCACATGCCACATGGATATCTGTGAGCCACATCAGGTGCCACCTAAAGAACTGTGGGCCATATCAGGTGGCACACGGACAACTGTGAGGTGAGCCATGTCAGGTGCCTGGTGGATATGTACTGTAGATCTTATCAAGGGCCACATGGACTATTTTAAGCCATATCAGGTGCCACATGGATAACTGTAAACCATATCAGGTGCCACATGGGCATCAGTAGGCCATATCAAGTTACACAAGGACAACTCTAAGCCATATCAGGTGCCTTATGGACAACTGTAGGTCTTATCAAGTGCCACATAAACAATTTTAAGCCATATCAGGTGCCACGTGGACATCTGAAAACCATATCTGGTACCACATGGACAATTGTAGGCCATATCAGGTGCCTCTTGGGACAACTGTTGGTCTGATCAGGTGCCACATAAAAATTTTAAGCTATATCAGGTGCTGCATGGACATCTGAAAACCATATCAGGTGCCACATGGAAAATTGTAGGCCATATCAGGTGCCGTATGGGCAATTGTAGGCCATATTAGGTGCTGCATGGTCATTGTAGGCCATATCAGGTGCCACAAGGACAACTGTGAGCCATATTTAGTGCCTGTATTCTGTTTAAATGACTTTTAGGCCATCCAATTTCTGACCTCTTTGGTGCTGTATAAATGACCTGCCTCAAGTGCCAACAATATTGTCCACTTGACTTTCGCTTACGGTTCTGAAGCATAGTTACAAGTTAAGTATTTCTGGAGGGCGCCCCAAAGTTTTTTTTGTATCAAAGTTTCCATTCCGATTTGTGTTAATCATGCCTTCACATCCAACAGGTGTCACGGTCAGGGAAGTGACCTCAGAGGATCTACTGGATTTATTTCCAAAATATGACGCAGAAGCTCAGACCATCATTGGAGATTCTCCAGCAGAAAACCTGGTGACCCCAGATATCCATGAAGGATTTTCCTATATGTTACCTAACCTGTGCTATGCTGAGGAACCTTACCGCCCAGATATGGACAGGCGCAATGGAACCCACCAAAGCGTTAAGAAATTTTCTTGTCCCGAGTGCGGTAAAAGCTTCTCACAGAATTCATCTCTTAAGATACACTGTAAACGTCACGCGGCGGAGAAGCCATTTTCGTGTCCCGAGTGTGGAAATTGTTTTAGATACGAGTCGGAACTCATTATGCATCATAGAATTCATGTAGCGGAGAAACGGTTTCCTTGCACGGATTGCGGGAAATGCTTTTTGTGGGAATCGGAGCTCGTTACGCATCAGAGTGCTCACTTGACGGAGAAGCCTTATACTTGTGGCGAGTGTGGGAAATGTTTTGCAGATAAGCGCGGCCTTCACCGCCATTATAAAAGCCACTCGGACGCCAAACCACACCCCTGCTCAGAGTGCGGCAAAAGTTACACGTGGAAGTCGGAGCTCATTCAGCATCAGAGAGTTCACACCGGGGAGAAGCCCTTCTCCTGCCTGGAGTGCGGGAAGAGTTTCTCTTGGAAGACTGTACTTCTGAAACACCAGAAGGTGCACACTGGCAAGAAGTCGCTCTCGTGTCCGGAATGTGGGGAGTGTTTCACATGGAAGTCTGATCTCGACAAGCACCAGAGAAAGGCCCATACCGGAGAACGCACCCTGTCCTGTACAGAGTGTGGGAAACGGTACAACCAGCCGCTCTCACCTGCTCGACCACCAGAGGACTCACACGGGGGAAAAGCCCTTCTCGTGCCCCCACTGCGAAAGGCGTTTTACTTCAATTGCTCAGCTGAACAAACACAGGAGGAATCAGTCCTGCTGTGAATCCAGCAAGTTCTTCCCGGAGAAAGGGAAGCTGGCAAGACGTCAGGGGGTCCACGAAATGCCGTTTTCCTGGCATTAAGGTGGAAATTAACAGGATTGGAAAACTGTGGTGGAGATAGGCGAGTCCACGTAGGGCCCATCAGTTAAATCGGCCAACTTGTCACTTGTGCTCGGAATGTATCAGATACTGATAATTCCACACGCTTCGAGGAGAATTAGCAAAATGTCTATTTATCATTTAGATGTGTTACCCAGGAACTAAACATGGAATAAAATTGTACCTGGACTCTGACCCAGTCCGTGCCTTTAACTTGTCTGTAGTAATCTCCAAATCTTGTGCGCTCACGCTCTCTCTCTCTCCCCCCCCTCTCTCTCTCTCCCCCTTTCTCTCTCTCTCCCCCCCTCCTCCTCTCTCTCCCCCCCCTCCCCCTCTCCCCCTCCCTCTCTCTCCCCTCCCTCTCCCCTCCCCCTCCCTCTCTCCCCCTCTCTCTCTCCCTCTCCCTCCCCCCCTCCCTGTCTCTCTCTTCCCCCCCCTCTCTCCATCTCTCTCTCCTTTTCTCCATCCCTCCCCTCTTCTCTCTCCCTCCCTCTCTCTCTCCCCTCCCTCCCCCCTCTCTCTCTGCCCCTCTCTCTCCCTACTTTCCTCTCTCCCCCTCCCCTTTCTTCCTCCCCCTCTCCCCCTCCCTTTTCTCTGTCCCTCCCTCTCTATCTCTCTCTCCCTCCCTTTCTTCCTCTCCCTCCCCCTCTATCTCTATCTCCCTCCCTCTATCTCCCCCCTCCCTCTCCCCCCTCTCTCCCCCTTTTCTCTCTCTCTCCCTCCCTTTTTCTCCCCCCCTCCCTCTCTCCCCCTCCCTCTCTCTCCCCCCTCCCCCCTCCCCCCTTCC